CTCCCTCTGCCTGTGTCTCTGCCTCTCTCTGTGTCTCTCATGAATAAATAAAAAAGTCAAAACTGAAAAAAAAAAAAAAAAAACCAACACCACATCGTACTGCCATCCTGGGCTCTCCTGCCTCCTGTTAGGTTCCACTAGGAGCTGACTTCCACCTGTGTTTTCCAAACTTCTTCCCTCTGTCTCCATGCACAATGCCTTCACCGTCTCTTTAGACCACATCTGCACACCTGTAAATGCCCACCTCTCAGAGCTGGCCCAAGCTGTTCCTCTCTGCTGAGTGTTCTCCTCCATCTCCCATATGCTTCTCCCACTCATTCATTAAGCCCACTTTGATACCACCTCCTCCATGCCACCTCCCCGGATTTCCCCACCAGGGAAGATGGCACTCGCCCCTTGTATCTTAGCTTTAGTGTCCCTCCCTTCTGTCCCACTGGACCAGTCTGGGTTCCACCACATTACATTCAGAGAGGGAAAGGGTAACAGAGACCCCTTCCCTGCCGCTATGAGCTGAATTGTGCCCCCTTCCAAAAAATCCTTATGCGGAAGTCCTAACCCCTAGTACCTCTGACTATGACTGCATTTTGGAGACAGGGTCCTTACAGAGGTTAAAATTACATTAAAATGAGGCCAGTCAGGTGGGCCCTGATCCAATCCGATGGGTGTCCTTATAAAAAGCAGAGATCAGGACACAGACATGCACAGAGGACGACCACATGAGGACACAGGAGAAGGCAGTCATCTACACACCAAGGAAGGAGGCCTCAGAGGGAGCCAACCCTGCCTGTGCCTGGATCTCAGACTCCCAGCCTCCAGCCCTGCAAGGACATACGCTTCCATCATTGAAGCTGCCCGGTCTGTGGTGCTTTAACACGGCATCCCTAGCACTAATGCACCTGCCCTCAAGGATCTCGACATCTGGCAAGTTGTCATGACCCAATCCACACCCTCGAAAGCTCCATACGTCTGCTCTGAATTCCTGCCTCCCTGGGTATAAAATATACACAAGTACCAGGTTCCTCAAGACCCTGGAGCAGAGAACGTGGTTAACCAGCTTGGAATCACCACTGTATACAATTCCCCTAGACATCCTCAATCCTCTAGGCAGAGCACGGAACAAATGTGGAAAATGGGGGAGGAGGATGGCAGGGGAGGGGAAGAAGTGCTCGTCCATGGATAGCGGCAACAACGCTGAACTGATGAGGTCTGGTCAAACAAGCTCAAGTCCAAGGGAGCTGAGGAACCAAACTTGAAGTTCAAGTGCCAAGAGGGAGGCGCACAGGTGAGCTATATACTTAAAATAAGCAAAATAAGCAAGCGCATGATTTCCACCTTCCAATCCTACCTCTGTCTCTGAGGGCAGCTCAAGAGAAGCAAAACCTGGAGCGTCCGTGCAAAGCCCATTTTGGATCCCTCAAAGGTAATGCCCAGCGGTTTCGATGAAACATTAATTTCACACATAACAATTTGTTTCTACAGCTCAACAGACAGAAAGGCAGTGTTTGAACTTCCAAGCAAGTCCACTTCCCTATCTCCATGGGAGCAGGAAGAAATCGGGCCGTGGGAAGGAATATACACACATGTTCCCAGTGCTCGGCCACAAGGGCTCGCCTCTTGCCTCCTGTGACTCCTTCTTGCAGATGCTCGAAAATACTACCTCAAAAAGTCTGTCCCTCAGAACATTAAGACTCCTAACTCTGGGAAATGAACTAGGGGTGGTGGAGGGGGAGGAGGGCGGGGGGTGGGGGTGAATGGGTGACGGGCACTGAGGGAGACACTTGACGGGATGAGCACTGGGTGTTATTCTGATGTTGGTAAACTGAACACCAATAAAAATTAATTTATTAAAAAAATAAAAAAAGTCTGTCCCTCTCAGCAAATGCTTTTTATTTATTTTTTTTTTTAATTTTGAAAAACACCTGCTATGGTAAAGCAAATGCTTTCTCTGCTCCTGTGGACCATGTCTGCAAAGAACAGTTTCTCGGGTCTCCTGACCTGGACAAATTAAGTGAAATAAAATTTTTTAAAGATTTCCCTCAGTAAAGTGGCTGCAGGTTCGTTTCTTCCCCACTGTGGCCTTAAAAGATGGTGCCTTCAAACGGCGGCTAAATCCAGTGCAGGATCCCGGCTAATATCTTTGGACCGGTGGCTGCCAGTTGAGGACAGAGGGAGTCAAAGCTGGTTCTAAGAGCTCCTGTGCCCAGAAAACAAAGCCATGCTAGCACTACATATGCACCTGTGCACTGAGACAGTAACAATTAGAAACACATTTGCATTTAGCGCTTGGTTCGCCTTCCCTCCCACCCTGAGCATTCCCCAGGCACCAAGGTACTCTTAAGGCACCATCTGCTCCCCAGGCCAGAAGATGACCTGCTTTTGCAGAGAGCACAATGGGCCTCAACATCGCACTCCAGAGGATGGGTGAGCGGGAAGAGGGAGGCAGGAGTGAGAAGGCACCCAAGCCGAAAGCCTGGGTCAACATTTCGATGCTGGGCAGCCCAGGTGGCTCAGCGGTTTAGCGCCGCCTTCAGTCCAGGGCCTGATCCTGGGGACCCAGGATCGAGTCCCACATCAGGCTCCCTGCATGGAGCCTGCTTCTCCCTCTGCCTGTGTCTCTGCCTCTGTGTGTGTGTGTGTGTGTGTGTGTGTGTGTGTGTCTCATGAATAAATAAATAAAATCTTAAAAAAAAAAATTCAATGCTGCTGCTCGCCTTCTCTTTACCCCACTGACAACAACACTCACTGATGATAATAAAGCACTTCCAGCTTCCGCCTCCTAAGTGTGTGCTAAGTGCCAGGCTCTGCCCTGCTTTGCACATGCTATCCCTGCCCTCCCCTTTGCAGGGGGCCGGGGGAGAGATGCACCTTTTCAAGCTCCTGTTCTGGACCTCCTGCCCTTGACCAAAGAGAAGTCCGACCCCCTCCCCTCCCAAGCCCCCTCTCCAGGAATTCACCTGCCAGTACCCAGGAAACAAGCCACCTAGTTACAAAGCAGTCCCTGATTCAGCCAGTGTGCCCTGGGGAGCAAAGCCGGGGAAGCTCCTCTGAAGCTCCCCCACCTCGCCCCGACCCTACCCCACTTGCATGCTCCCCGTTGGCCCAAGCCCCCTCCTCACTCTCTCCAAGGAGGCTGCCCATCCCTCTGGCTCTGTGCTCACAACGGGGTGGGTGCTGGGTGCCAGTGGGTCCTACCTGGGAGGCTGGCCTCCATCCTCAGTGCCCCTCTCTCCCTTCTGCCACACGGCCCCCTGCCACCCCATGAATCAAAAATGACTGAGGCACTGGATTAACAGCTGCTTCAACCACCTGAGCAGGTCGGGGTAGGGGCTCGGTTGAGATAGTCTGGCGCAGCAGGATGACCTCAAATGCTCAGTGTTCCTTGAGCCGTGGGTCTCCAAGGGTTACAGCTTAAGGCACAGGGACAGGGCTTGTTCACCAGTATGGGGAGTGATGAAAAGCTGAGCCCAACTGTCACGCGGGGTCTGACCCCTCTCTCATGATGCAGATGGGGACGGTTGCCTGGGGCTCTTCTAGGGAGGGGTGCCTGCTACCTGGAGTCAGGCACCTTCCACCCCCCACTCCCACTCCCACTCCCACTCCGTTGGCACCCTGAGCGCCCCCTGCTGGCCTCCGGGCAGCGAATGCAACCGCCCCCCACCCTCCACCCCAGCTTTCTAGTGACTAGAGAGGCACAAATGACGGAAGACCAGAGACCTGGTGTCTGTGCCTGCAGCTCCCAGCTGGCTAAGGAGGGGGAATGGCAGGGCCCTGGGCTCTGGACCAATCAAGTGTGCCCAGTGCTGCCCGTTGTGTGCTGCCCCTGGATTCGGCTGGAGAGGGGATGGAGTACCATCCCCCAGAATCCACCTCACCAAACCACCCCCATCAACCCAGGGGGGCTGAGGCGGGTTAAATTCCCCCCCTAGCCCACGTTACACCCCCTTTCCAGGCTAGGGAAGTGCACAGATCCCCACCCTTCCACTCCCAAAGCATGCGGGGGGGGGGGGGTACTGGCCCCTGCTGCCGCCTCAGAACTTTGTCAAAGAGAAGCGCTGGCGGTGGGGGAGCCCCTGGGGGAGACCCCAGCGAATAGCCATAGAAGGGAGTAAGCGGAGAGTCCCAGCTCTACTCCCCACACAACCAGCTGCCACCTCCCCCGACTCTTCCAAAACTGGAGCTGACCCACTAGGGCTGCTGGGAGGCGACCAGGTACGAGCACTGATCATCTGCCCAGGGGAAGAAGGAGGCTGGGGCAGCCCCGGGGGAAGGATATGAGGGTCCCCAAACCCCGTGATGCACCACACACACAAAATAAGGATGGGTGGGAGCCCGGAAGGATAGGAGCCATCGCGGGGCGCTGGAGGAAGGAGGCGCCCAGGACCCTAACGGAGGAGGCGAGGGCGGGGGAGCCCAACTTCCAGAGCAGCGGGAAGGGGAGGGCGGGCAGGGAGTTTGAGAGCGCGGCGGGCGCCCAACTCCGTGGGTCCGCAGATTCCTGCGCGGCCAGGTGCAGCCGGGTCGCACTCGGGGAACCCGGAGAGGGGGTCCCCGAATCCCAGGCTGAGCCGACCGGGGCTCCTGGAGCCCGCGGAGCGAGGTCCCAGGGAGAGCGGGCGGGGGTGGGGTGGGGGGGCGGTGGCCGCAGCCAAAATCCCAGAACGCAGACCGGGTGGAGTCCGGGAGCGGTCGGGGCGCAACACCGAGTTGGGGTGGTCCCAAAGGACCTGGAGGCACCCCCGGCGACCGGGGCCCCGGAGCCTCGGGAGATGCCCCCTCCCCGTCACCTGGAATCTGGAGGCGGGGGCGGGGGCGCCTCCGAGGTGTCTGGGGGTCCCAGAAACCTGCGAGGCAGGGCGCTCACACATCTGGGGACCGCTCCCCAAGAAACCGGTGTCCGGGGCCCAGCAGGGGCGCCGCCGAGGTGCCTCGCGTCCCCGAGTCTCCGGGAACGGCCGGGCTGAGCAGGGCGGTGGGGAAGTGGGGGCCGCGGGGGCACTTACGCTGCTGTTCTCGCCCGTCCAGTGCACCATCGCCTGGTTGTGCGTCGCGTCCCCCTTGAGCACGAACGACGTGCTGATGAGCGAGACCTGCGCCCGCGAGGCCGCTCCGGCCACCGGCGCCGCCCGCGCCCGGCGCCCCCGGTGCGCGGCGGGGGCGCCATCGTCGCCGGGACCCGGGGCGGCAGCGGGACCCAGCCCCGGGGCGCCGGGCTCCGCGCGCGCCTGCCGGTCCCCGTGCCCGTCCCCGTCCCCGTCCCCGTCCCCGCCGCCGCCCGGCAGCGCGCGCCCCGCGGGCGGGCTCGGCGGCGCCCGGGTGAGCAGCGCGCGGGGACCCCGGCGCCCGGGCTCGGGGGAGCGCCCCGCCGCCCCGCAGGCGGCCAGCAGCAGCAGCAGCAGCAGGAGCGGCCGCGAGCGCGGCGAGCGCGGCGGCGGCGGCGCCCCGGGGCTCGGGGCTCGGGCGGCGGGGCCGGGGCCCTTCGGGGCGCGCGGGGGCCCCCGGGGCGCCATGGTCGCCGGGGGGCGGCGGCGGGGCGGCGCGGGCGAGGGAGACCTCGGCGGGCGGGCGGGCGGGCGAGCGGGAGGGCGCCGGGGAGCGCGAGCGAGAGCGCAGAGAAAGGAGCCGGCGAGGGGAGGGAGCCGGCGGGAGGAGGGGACTCGGCGCTCCGCTGCCGCCGCCGCGCAGCCGAGGGCGCACCGCCACCTGCCGGCCGCGCCCGGGCCCGCCGAGGCCTGGGCAGGGGTCCCGAGAGCGCGCGCCCAGCCGGCCGAGCCCCCCCGCCCTCTGCCCTTCCCACTCCCCTGCTGCCTGTGCTTGCTCAGCACCAACCAACTGGGGCGGCGCAGTTCACAGGGGTGAGCAGCAGCCCGGGCCGGCCCTGGGGCGGACACCCTGACCCAGGAGACAGACGGCACCCACGTGCACACCGTTACAGACCAAATAACCCCAGAGAGCCAGCGCTGGGACAGTGGAAGTGGGGAGCGGCCCTCCTGCGGGGGCCTCCAAAGACAGCACCTAGGGGGCCCTCCGGGCACTGCCAAGGCCCTGAGGCTGCCCCTGCACAGCCTACTTGCGGGCAGCCACACAGGTGCCTTAGACTTCCGGACTTGCATGCGGTGCACGTCTATGTTCCAGCCCCAGGAGCCACCAACCCAGCAGCCTCCAAACATGAGGACAGAGACCTCGGTGCAGAAGCATCTAGAAGGAGCGGGGCGAGGTCCCAACCAGGGCACAGCGTGACAGGCCACAGCAAAGAACGGGACAACAGGCTCACAATCCACCAAGTCCCTGCCAGAGGCCATGGGCTGCTTTAGGTAGATTTCATAACTTTCTTGAGCATCCACCCTGTGCTCTGTATTGGCCTGTGGGAAAACAGGAGGAGGGGGCTGGAGCCCCACTTAGGTGAGGACGGTTTTGCATCCTCTGCCAGGTGGGGGCCAGCCTGCCTCCATCCTTCCCCTCTGCATTAGGTAAAGATCCCGGGCTCCCAGGCTCTGTCACACCTGCCTCCCAGCTGGATATCTGCTCCAGGGAGAGAGGGAGAGAGAGAGAAAACCAAATGGGGCAGAGGAGCAAAGCCTCAAATATTTGGGAAAGGTAGAGAGTGCAGGTTCCCTCCCACCTCCAGGAGTAGAAGCACCCAGTGCCCAGTCTTCTTCTGTAGGCTCACCCCACCCCCCAGGCTCAACCGGAAGTTGGGGGTCAGATCTGATAACAGATAGTCCCTGGGGCCCCTGCTGTCTGTGCCCAGCCTTGGGGGGCGGGCTTCGGGGGTGGCCAGATGTCTGAGAAGTCTCCTCCCCTGGAATGTGCCCTAGCCCTCCCTCCCGCTCCATGGTGTAAATTCCCAAGCTGTCAGATTCTAAGTCTTCAGCTCAGGCCCTGGGTTGGGAAGGGAAGCAAGAGCTGAGAGTTGCAGGAGCCTGTGGTCTGGCACAGGGAGTAGAGAGGAACAGAACCTGGCCAGTGCCGGGGGGAGGGGGGCAAGCCAGGCAACCCAGGGCCCAGGAAGAAGCTGACAAACACAGCACAGGGCAGACCGGGGCTGGGGGGGGGAAGCAGGGCCAGTGGTCAGAAAAGAGGTGGGTCATGCCCCAGCTTAGACCCAGTGCCCCCTGGGCCTTCCCAACTCCCCCATGTCCACCCCCAGCCATAAAGTAATGGCTGCATGGGCTCTGCACTCTCTCCCCCTGCCTTGTTTGTTTGTTTGTTTGTTTGTTTGTTTGTTTCAATAAAAGAGAGCCCGAAGCATTGTCCTCAAGAAAGGCCTACTGTCCGGCACCGGCACCGGGGTGGTTCAGTGGTTGAGCTCTTCCTTCAGCTCAGGGTGTCCTGAGTCCTGGGATCAAGTCCTGCATCGGGCTTCCCACAAGGAGCCTGCTTCTCCCTCTGCCTGTGTCCCTGCCTCTCTCTGGGTGTCTCATGAATAAATAAATAAAATATTTTTTAAAAAAAAATATGACCATGACAGATGGCTGAGCACCTACTCTGTGCTCGACTGTCCCAGGGGCAGCTGCTCTCAGGGGCAGGGGCAGCATCACAGGTTATTGCATGTAACTCTCACAACCAGGCTGTGGGGTACGTGGGGTATGTGTGATGGTCTTTTCACAGTTGAGGAAACACTCTGGGTGCTGACTGCCCACATTCCCCAAGCCAGAGAGAGTCAGAGACCAGATTCCAGCCCCAAGGTGCCATTCCTCCCACCACCCCACATTACCTGTGGCCTGTGTGCTGGGCTCGCCAGCAGTCCACCTCTCGGAGGCTCAGACAGAGCCTCAGCCATGGGCACATCACACATCACCGCCACCACCCCAGGCTCAAACTGAGGCTCACATTATTGATGACTTGGTGAAGATCCACGAATGAGCGGAGGAGTGTCCAGATCTGGAAAGCAGGTGGAGTGCCAAATGCCTCACCTGTGCCTTTTCCAGAACAGTCAGCTGGCTCCCTCTGCCCTGATAAGGCTGAAGGGCTTTCAAAAGAGCAGGACTGATTCATCCCTTGTCTGACTCCGAAACTCAGAGAGGTGGGGACTCCCCGAGGTCACTCAGCTCTCAAACATCCCTAGACACAGGGACACGGTGATGAAGGAGGCAGATGGGCTCCCGGTGCCGCTGAGCTCCTGTTCATCCCTGTAGGCTCCATGTGAGAACCACAGGGGGTACCCTTTTGACCTCTGTGAGGAGAGATCCCAAGGAAAGCTCATCTCAGACAGTAGTAAGGACCCAGGGACACATAAGGTAGTCACCCCATGGAGATGAAGGGGTCACTAAGAGGCCTGGTAGCTTTGAGCTGACAATGAGAAGCAGGGGAAGAGGAGCTAATGGGGGGCAAAGTGGGAAGAGCTATCCCAGCAGGGATTGGAGCACAAGAGCCACCATCCCCGCCCAAGCTCACCAAACCCGAGGAGGGAGGCACGAGGCACAGGCACGCAGCGGGCTTGATTTGTATTCACAGCCTGGTGCAAAGTCTCTGGAGGATTTTAAGCGGGCTGGGGATTGGGGGCGGGGCAGTGAGACCAGTGACATGTCAGAGCAAGGACCAGTGCAGGAAACCACTTAGGAGGCTCCTGTCCAGGTTGAGATAGACCTTGGTGGCTGGACCCAGGGAAGGCACCAAGGGACTCGGGGAGGACGGAGGGAAGCCCACTCCCAGCACCTGCTGCACCCCCCCTGGCCTCACCCTCACTAGTGACCAAGTCAGAGACTCAAGGGACTCCCATGCAGAAAGGAAGGTGAATAGGTGGGAATCAGTCATGCTGTCCTGGCGTCCTGACGGAGAGAAGTCTGGGGAGACCACAGGGGCGGCCGCTGGCTCAGCAGGCATGGGTGTGAATGCTGGCGGAGGTACCATGTGTGCGGATGCATGGGTCTGGCACCCATGCTCTCGGTGTGTGGGGTGATACAAACACACTCCCTATTTGCAATCCCTGATTATTCGCCACAGGAGCACCCTAAGACAGGGGAAGCAGTCCCAGCCATCTCCCACACTGCCTCCTTATTCCAGGCTCCACACTCATCCCCCCGGCCCCTGCTCATGGGGAGTGCACACTGTGATGGGGGAGACAAATGATCAATAGAGACGTTGGGGAAGCAGGTACTCAGAGGGAGCTGCTTGGCTCCCTATGGCAGGGGGAGATGCTGCCCTCTGGGGCCAAGGTAAGAAGGCTGCTCAGAGGGGGACACCCCTCATTGCATCCTTCAGAAAGCAATAAGGAAAATAATCAGCATTACAACTTGTTGAGCCTACTCTGGCCAGGGATTGTTCCAGAAGGAAAACCTAATTGAACCTCACATCCAAATAATACCTATATAGCACCAACACAGAAAGGGCACCTTTACCACTTTGAAGGTAAAGGTGAAGGCACACTAGGATTCAGTAATTTATCTGAGGGATTCAAAGCGACATGTTCCTGTGTGCCACCTGGGTGTCCTATGAGAAACATGTCCCCTCTCGGTTTCTGTAATGTTCCCACCAGGACTCCCTGGACTCAGTGGCCCTCTGAGAGTCATCTTGGATCAGCAGCATCGGCATTAATGGGAACTGGTTAGAAATGCCAATGCCTGCACCCCATCCCAGACCCACTGAACCAGAAACTCCCAGATGGGGCCCCGGGATCTGTGTTTTAATGTGCCCCCAAGTTTGAGAGCCCCTGTGCTAACCCAGTGGTTCTAGGCCTGGGCTCCATGTGAGAACCACAGAGGGGACCCTCCTGACCTCCATAGGGAGAGCCCGCTATTCAGTCCTCTCTGAACTGGCCAGGTGACTCCATGTACAGCCAGCGTGAGCCGCTGACCTGGCACAGCTTTTACAAGGAGGCTTGAAAAACTAGATGCCAAACATCTAGATGCATATGCAAACAAACTAGATGCAAACAAACTAGATGCATATGGTTGGACCCATTAGATGGAGCATTTCCTGAGAGGTGAGTAGGGGTCCCACTGAGCCCCAATCCAGACCTTTTAGCTTCAAGATCCAGGCTGGCTTCCTTATTCCACAGCAATGCTCCCCATCCAAGAAGGAAGAGAAATACTTCCATCTCTCCAACTTTTAATCAGACCACTTACTCATTAAAAGTCTCAGGCTCTTTTAAATTATCAAAGGTCTCTAGTGATAATATTTTAATTTTTCTTTATAAATGTGACAAAGCTCAGCTTGTACAATTGCCCACATGGGCCTGATTCGGAGGCAGCCAAGGAATCCATGAGCAATGCTCTCAGGGATGCTTGGGGACTCAGCAGGAGGGAGACGGAGGGGACAGGCCGTTTGGGTGCCAGACTCTACAGAGGGGAACCTCTCCCCTGCACTGTGCCCTCAGCACTAGTCCCACTCTCCCACTCCTTCCACCCCCAGTACATCTCCAACCAGACTAAGAAGCCTGCACCTGTAGGCAACTGCCAGGTGAGGGGGGGGTAGTGGGTGTGCTAGGTGTGGAAGAAGGTGCCAGGTGCAGGGGGGCTGCCAGGTGAGGAGAGGAAGCTGCAGCAGCAGGGTAGGCTGCAGGGTGGGG